TGAGTAGAGTTTAAGATCTTTATAGAATTTTTTTGTATTGATGGTTTTATATTTGTTATGAAAAATAAGATATAAGTATGCAAAGTTTAATGCAACTTGTATTCTATTTGAAGTAATATAAAGTGAAATTAAGTTGTATAAAGTGAAGATTTTTGAATAATTAAGGTAAATAAAAAATATAGTAGTAAATTCTTTAAGAAGTGCAATAAGAGTAGAGTGAATTAGTTCAAAAGAAATAGCAAAAGATTGGTTTGTAGAAGGGTTATTTTCATAAATAAAGTCTATAAGAAATTTAGGCTATTGGTCAGCTAAGGTTTTAATTAGATACATATAATTAAATTTAGATACTTTTTTATTTTCAGTTGTTTGTTCAATAATTTTTTCTAAGTATATGTTAATAAGATGTGGTTTAATAAATTCAAGTATTTGTAAAGCTAGTTTGTTGTCAAGTTTAGTATGAAGTTTTATTTCTTCAGTAATTGGAAATTCTTTAAATTAATCAAGGTCATTAGAAATATCTCTAGGTGTTTGTTTTTGTTTTTCTTTTGTTCTTTAGTAAAGTATTGAAAGTTTGTTTTTTTGAGAAAAATAGATTTGTATAGTTAGATTTTGTCTTTTGCAGACATAGTGCTAAGTTTATAAAGAATGATTACTTTTTTTTGGTCAGAGTTAAGTGGAATTATCAGTTCAGTTGGTTTAATTTTGAGTTTTAGATTTAGGATATGTGGTATACAAGTATGATGAATTAGGAAGCCTTTGAAGATGAATGCCATTGTATAATCTGAAGCATGATTTTGTTGATTGTCAGTAAAAAGACATTGAATATTTTTAAGTTTATAGAAAAAACAAGTATAGTAGTATTGGGAGTGTGCAATTATAGCAGTAGGGGTTAGATCTGTTTGAAAGTTTGAAAAAAGAATACATGCTATTGAGAATGAAGAAGGTTGAGTTTGATTAGTTGATTTAGAAACTAATAAGGCTGGTAGTTCTTCTGTTTTTTTAAAACTTTGTGAAGAGATAGTATTTCTGATTTGAGTTTGAGTTGGGTTAATAGGTTGACCAATTGTAGTTGGATAAGTGATTTTGTAGTGTCAAGAAGTAAAGCTTATATGAAATTTGCCACAGAGGCAGGTTGCAATTGCAGATTGTAATGGGACTTTAAAGTAATGTTGTTGTTTTTTATCATCACAATAGTCTGATTTAGCTGCTAATAGAAGGACTCTTAGAGCTTGAGATTTGGCCTTGTGAAGCCCAACTCTATAGTGGTCTTTGTATTTAGAATAATAGTAGTTTATGTTATAGATATCTGGTTTTTAAGAGTCGATTAAAGTAGGCATTTTTCTAAATTATTTTTGGTATTGGGGTGTGACAAATAAGAGGTATGACAAATAAGGATATGACAAATAAGGGTATGACAAATAAGAAATATGATGAATAAGAAGGTGTGATAAATAAAGTAGCATCTAGTATAACACCTAAGTGATTAGTGTGATCAACATAGAGCAAAATTTGTGTAAATTTATTAAGACAAAATTGGTAATATTAAGTTTTGTTTAAAAATAGATGAAACAAAGATAGGTTTATATAAAATAATTAGTAATTTTGATTAGTAATAGTGATTTACAGGTCTGGGATGCCCTAGAGGGTCGGAGTCTTCCAAAAAAGAAAAAAAAAATTTTCCAAATTTTTTAAAAAAATTTGCGAGTTTCAATATATTTTTCAATAAAACTATCAGTTTTTGACCATATAGAGAGTATAATATATCAAAATGAAGATAAAATTGTGCTGAATCTTTTTGTTTTAAGTAGCTACTGTGTTTTACTTAGTAAAATAATAAGTATTTAGCAATAAAAGAAAATTATTTAATTTAGTTATATCTCAGTGATAAACGCTTTTAAAGATATAAAGATAGGCCACCTATGTGTAAAATTTTATGAGGAACAATTTTACTTAGGCAGCCAAGATAGGTTTACTTAATAACAATTTGAGAAAAGAGCAGCTTTGTTTAGAAAGAATTTGGTACAAGTGATCGTTGGAAAGAGTTGGTGATTTGCAGTCCCCAACAGGATTTTTTAAAAAGGTATGTATGTATATATTTAAAATATTCATATGATTTATTACAATAATGTAAATAAATATGCATCTATTAAAAATAACTTTGGTATTTTAGATTCATCAGCAGGGATATTATCCATTTTTGCAATTTAATGATCAGTATATCAACTTGTTTAAAGATTTATCAGAGAATCTTTTTTTAATAGTTTTAAATAAATCGCAGGCTGAATATATATTAGATGGAAAGACTTTAGTTAATGATAATTCTGATGGAAAAACTTCAAGTAGTTCGCATATTCCTGATGAAGAAATTTTAAGTAACTTAAATACTCTTGATGAGGAAATTTCTAGTTGTTCAAATCTTCTAAATGAAACTCTTAATAATGAAATTTCAAGTAATTTAAATACTTTCAATAGAAAAATTTTTAAGTAATTCAAATAATTCAAATAGAATGTTTTAGTAATTTAATTCTAACAAAGAAAACTTCTAATAATATAGAATTGTCTTTTCAAAAATATAAAGTTTCAGATAATAAAAAGGCCATAAACCAGAAAAAAAAAGAACTTTACTTGTTAATGGAATGTATCAAATCTATTATTGAAGAAAATACTCAACAATCTGATGCTGAAAAATGGATTGATGCTATTGATAAAAACTTTAATCCTTTGTGAAAAATGGTAGATGACTGTGAGAAATATAATAGATATCAAAAAATTCAAAATACTTGGAAGGGTCAAAATCATAATACATTTTGGATTTAAAATCTAACTATAATGTTAAAAATCTGAATATGAATTAAATTTGAATAATTGTTTTTGTTCAAAATCAATTTTTTTTTGTAATAATTATGTTGACTTATATATTGTGTTTTCGTACTATTATATATTGAGATTAATCTTAAGCAGATAATAATTCGGTTAAACCAAAATTATAAAATTAAAAAAAAAAAGATTTAAGTAAGAAAGCCTTCTTGTTGATTAATTTGATAAAACTAATCAATAATTTATATTTAACTACAGTCAACTTTTTCTAAGTGCAACTCACCAGGCTTATAAAAATTTTAATATAAAAAAAAATAAACCTTGCATTTAGAGAAAAGTTGCATTTATAGAATATAAAATTTATATTGTTTTATATATTTAGGGTTAAAAAAAGCTTTTGCATTTAGAGAAAATTTTATTAAGCATTGCATTTAAAGAATGTGCACTTAGAGAAAGTTGACTGTATTTGACTTCGATTTAATATATAAAATCATCTTTGAACTTAATTTCGAATAAAAATTTCTAGTATTCTAATTGTCATTATATACAAATTCATGAAATTTGATTTGATAATTATTTATCACGTGATGCAGCAAAATTTTTTTGACTGGTGATTTATATACTGTTTTAATAGAATCCATCATTCATAATTCTGGTCAAACTTGCAGATCATTCGACCATATTTAAAGTTGTTTTGTTCTAGATCTGGCCAAATGATCTGCAAATTTGGCCAGAATTATCAAACCACTGATATGCAGAAAAAAAACGCAAAACAACAAAAACTGACATTTAAACTAACCTTGTAGCATTAATTAAAAATGATGGGAGTCCAACTTTACACATATGTAGATGATTTATATATATAAACATGAAACCTAATGAGTAAAGGCTCTAGGGACTGAGGTTGTATAGCTGTGCAGTAGTTTTAAAAAACCTTGATTTTTCCATCTTTAGGTGTGTTCATCTGCATGATTCTATTGAGAGATGACTGTATTATTAAAAGCTATCACAAAAATAACTCTATTGTATTGTAAAGCTAGTTAAGAACTACAGCTAAAAAAAAAAATTCAATGTAATTTGGTCAGTTAGTTATATCAAAAAATGTATCTAAAACTTCTATATTTTACTATTAAATCAACACCTATAAGTTATTCGTGGATGCCATAGCAAAATCCATACTTTTATCTACCTTAACGTGCTTTCAGGATCACACTTTCATGGCTTATATTATCTTGAGCCGTAATAATGTCATCCAGTCATGCGGAATACCATATATAAATACAATAATGCTATGTGTTGAAGTATTTAATTTTGCAATAACTTCCACTAATATATAACATCCTTATAAATAAGATGCAAAATAATAATAAAAAAAATGTTAGAATGTTTACAAATTTGAATTGATTTTACCATTCTATTGCTATGTATATGATGTATATAGTGTTATATACAAATTGCATGTTATGAATAAAACAATTCGAGAGAAATGAGGCCAAATCCATGAAAATTTTTTATTAATAACATTATGATGCAAGGGAATAAATGTAGAGCTAAGTTTAAAAGAGACATTTAAAAAAAATATAAAATAAACTAATAAAAGTCTGTTCATAATTCTATTCAAAGCTAATTTTTTGTGTTAGATTTTATTTTGCCAAAAAAACAAGCTCATGATCTCTTAATTAGGAATATTATAAACGACCCTAGCATCACCCTGAAAAAATGGTAGCCGGACAGATTTGCCAGGTTACACAACTCTATTTGTGATACTAATAACCTATTGTTAAAATTACTATAACAATAAATACATTATCGTTCGCTTTTTCTGTCAACTAAAGTTTTTCTAGTACAAAAATTGTGTTGCACTTTGCAGTGTAAATTGTTAAAGCTTTTTATACCCGGTTTCAATCCTTTTTTTTTATATAAACATTTATTATCTTTTTTTTTTTTAACAAGTGTTTTCTTATAAACGTTTTTTTTTTAAACATATAAATGATACAAGCTTCATGTCAAATTAACAAACCAGGAATTGTATAGGGTGTCATACTATCCAAAACTATGATACATTTTTAAATGAAAAAGAAATTGCATTAAAAAAGTGTTTACAGTGTCGAACCAATATCAGACTTTCTCGCTCAAAAAATAAAACATCTGATATGATTATCAGTCACTTGGACATTACCGAAATGGTATATAATTCTTTGACTTCCTTAAATAACACTGACGAATTTTATGAAAAAGAAAATGAGAAATTAGAGTTGGAATTTAATGTTGAGTTGTCGTCTCTTCTTGATGCAATTTCGGATGAGGAATTGCAAAAAGAAAATATTGATTTTGAAATTGGCTGCTGTATAATTGCTTATATTTCTGAAGGAGATGGTTATTCATAGGTGTATCATACTAAAAACCAAAAAAAAAGTTTTTCCTTGTAATCTATTATTGCAATTGCCGGATTGAACTTGGAAAACGACAAGTGAAACATCCTGAATTAGATAAGCAAAGGGATATACCTACATATTTAGAACAATACAATTGTGAAGGAACAGTAAATATAGATATTTTTTCAAGTTTGGATTTAATTAAAATTGTTTATTCTTACAAAGCATTACATCTACGACCAAGACATGTTGTAACAACACTTGAAGTTAAAACTTTTATTAAGGATAATATTGAATTTCCTGTACCTGAAATCTGGCATCAAATTCAAGAAAATTTTATTAAAGGATATGAAAATTTAACAGTACAACAAACTTATTACTGGTGATCGATCGAATCTTGCAAAAGATATTGTTGAGATTCTGATCCTTTATGGTTAGCTAAGCATTTGTTAGAAGAATTCAAACTAGAAATTATTGTAGATAATCTTAATTCTTCTACACCTGTGCTTGGGTTCTTAACATTATTATTTAATAGGTTGATTTATAATAAATTTGACGCAATTGCAATTGATGTGACATATGGTATGAATAGTTTGGCCTGTGAACTATATTCTGTTATTGGTATAATTGATGGTACTAGGTTTCCTCATAGTTATCTTCTTATTACAACTGGGAGAAATCAAAATATAACTGAAATTCTTTTCAAATAGATGAAAGCTTTGAAAGAACATCATTTAAAAAATTTTTCTTTTATTCTTACAGACAAGGATTTTTCTGAAATCAATGCAGCACAATTACAATTATGTATTTGGCATGTACATTAGGCGATTAAAAATCAATTAGCATCTAATAAAAAAAATACATACTATTCATATAATCCAAAACTTGCGCATGAAGCATGTTCTATGATAGATCCTAATTGGTGAGTTACAAATAATTCAAATTCAATATTTTGTCCCTTGAAATTATAAAAAACTGTAGTTGAGCTTGTTGAAAATCATTCAACCCGTCACATGCTACTACCCAAACTTGATGGCACTTTTACTACAAATTCAAACAAAATTTGGAAAAAATGCGTTAGTGAAATGATGCAATTTTGCAAAAACAATAATTTGCTTCAGCTATGGGTCTATCTTTGGAAAGAATAGTACTCTAAAGATAAATGGAATTTGTGGGCATGAGCAGCTGATGAGAATATTAGCCATATTAAAACTACAATGATGATTGAGTCACATTGGTGACAAATAAAACATGATTATTTGTACAAGTTTTATAAATCCCATGTTGATCATTTATGCTATATCCTTGTAAAGAAAGTAATAAATCGACATTTATATCGAATTCAACTACTTGAACAAGGTCGTTACTTGGTATCATGGCATAAGGAGTTTAAGAAGGAATGGAGGCAGCTTGAAAAAAAAACAATCTAGGAAAATAACAAGTATTTTACAGATCTGGCTAAATGGATATGTGCATGCCCTGCATATATTCGAAGCTGTTTCTTTTTATGTAAACATTTAATTAATTTAGTAGAAAAGGCTGATTCAATATTTTTTAAAAAGGTAAGAAATTATTTTTAAAATACTATTTATATGTGCATATGTAATATTTGCTTAATATGTATTAATTTTTTTTTTATATATAGGTACAACATAATGGATATTATCCATTAATTTTCTCTTATAATGGTGATTTAGTAAATTTGTTCCATTTGGAAAATTCTGTAAATTATCAACCTTCAAATATTTTATCAACTCAAGAAGAATTGGAATTGGATATTAGACATGAGAACAGTAGTGATGATGAAGAAAACAATTTTAAAATGAACTTGGACTATTTGCATGAAATGTTAGATAAGGTATTTATAAAAAAGTTCTATAATATGGTATTTACATTATTTATTAATTTTCAATTGTTCTGTAGACTAAAATGCTTTTAGACGAATCACACAACAAACCCAAAGGACATTTATGGTTAAAAAATGTTCATTCCAACTTTAAATCATTAGAAAAAATGAATAATGATATTGTGGCATTAAATAATTGTATAACAATGCCAAAGACTTGGAAAGATTTTAATAAAAATACAATGTATTGGATATAAAAAAAAAAAATAAATATTATAAAGCATAAGTATTGTAGAAATAAGTGGTAATAGTATATAAGATGATGTTTTAATGATAAATTTCTAAGAACGATCTTGGATTGTGTTATAAAGATGACATATAAATCGTTAATTATAATAAAAAGCATGTATTTGAGCAGCATTTAATCTGTTAAGAGTGATAATTCTGTAATTATTATGGTTTTATACATTAAACAAAGAATAAATAATTCATAAAAAATTTGCACTATCACTATTCATTTTTTTGAACTTTCGAAGTTATTTAAAAAACCAATGAACTGCATCTGAAATTTTGTGTAACCTGGCAAATCTGTTCAGCTACCATTTTTTCAGGGTGATGCTAGGGTCATTGAATATTATATATGTTATCAATGATTGGTATTGTCATAAGAATCAATAGTTACAATGAAACTGTCCATATGTATAATTTTTAGTTTTTGTATTATTAAATATCAGTTTCACTCAGATCTAGTTAATTAATTAATTATATATTTTCTATACCTTGTTTATGCTGTCTCTCAGACCTCGAATAGCTTCAAGTGTCAATCAACCTCCATTAATGAGGATGTTTAAAGCTTGGCACCTTACGAAATTACCGATTTTCTGATTTTTAATTAATTAATATTAGGGTTAGGATCTGGTAGAGTGTTTGCATATAATAATATCTTATTTCTGATACTTTTACTTGGTGAACCAAGGCTGGTTTAGATGGCTATTTATTATGTATTTAGTATTTTTGTCTTTACCGTTTTGCTTTTGTTTGTTTGGATAATATTGAATTCGGTTGAAATGGCAAGTCAGTTGCTCCACAATTCAAAATATTGTGTAACCTACGGTTGGCTTAGTCGAAAAGAGGCGGTTAGATTTGGTCAGTGGTTTGGGTCCATAGATGAGTATTTCTTTTTTACTTGTCTTGCGTTTTACTTGCTTGTGCTTTTACTAACTCTATTCTTAATTACCTCACTACTTTGGGTAATTGAATGACACATATAACCTCACTATTCACAGTCCTTCGGGATAATGGAATGATACAACTATGGCTGATCCTGGTACTTTAGGATACAACAGCCAGACAGGAACTTAACAATACTATGGAATAGAACAGATAATTACAAAAATCGGGGTTTTATGATCTGGGGATTTATTGATTAGTTAATGTAGCAAGGAGATGTTTATGTATTTATTATAGTGTAAGGGGCCAGTTATTATTTTAATAAAGTGAAGTTTGTGACTGTCTTTTCCCTAGGGCCTTTTGGCCTTTGGGTAATTCCATAAGGTGCAAGGCTTAAATGATCCCTAGATTAGTGAGTGGTTAAGGCAAAGATGTGTGTAATTTAGGCCAATCAATGCCAATTAGTTAATGCTGACCAAAAAATCGACATCAGAATAGGCCCTGGCATGCCTAAAATCATTTGTGGGGCTCCGCATAGGCTGGAGCATCCGTTGATTGGTCCAATATGGAACAGGCTTAGTCCAAAATTTTTTGACTATGGCTAATTGAATCCAGATCCAAAGATCTATGGATAGTTTATTATTAATTTGATTGGGCAAAATCATAGATATCATCATCATTTTCCTTATCATATGATGTCAAAATTACGAATCCGAGCTTAATTTAGAAATAAACAGTTTACAGTTTGTGCTCTTTGAATCCATGGATTGTACCATGTGGTCACGGTGTTTATCCAATTGAATATGAGCTAGTTTTGGACTTCGAAAATCCAACCAGACCGGCCTATGCGGAACTCTAATCGTTTCGTATGCTTTATTTTTTGATTAGGCGAGACCAACTGGATTCTGTGTTTTACATTACACTCTTTCAGCGCTCCTCTCTATCATTGTAAAAAATTTTAGATAAATATACATAGAGCTACAGGATATTTTGGAAAATTTTTATATAGCCATAGAACAATTCGAAAATATTTTTTTTGAAATTTTTTTTTTTAAAATTTTACTATGTAAACCACAAATTCTTCCCCATCCCCCACTCTTCTGGAGGGGAGAGGGGGTAATGTAAAACACAGAATCAAGTTGGTCTCACCTTATTATTAAATTTTCATTAACCAATCAAGTTATATGAGAATAATTTTATAATAATAAATAATAAATGTATGCCAACTAGAGTTGGCACTTGAAATGAAACCTACCTTAAACTAGTTTTAGAAGACTCTAATCTGAAACTCCGAAATCTGAATTCCAAAACTATAATCTGAAACCCAAACTATAATCTAAAATTTTTAAAAATTATAAATTAAAAAATATAAACAAAAAAAATTTAGACTAACAAAGTAATAATAGTAAGTAATAAATTAATCATTCTATTTATTTCAAATAGCTTAATAAATGAAATATTTATTATAGCCAAAAAGTATATAATTATAGTTTTTCTAAGTATTGAAATATTTCATCACCTTTTAAAATAATTATAATACTCCAATTTATGCAATAACACAAAGTTTTTATTAATACTACTAAGCTATTTGTTACTATTTTTTCTTCAATTATATTTTGTTACTATGTCTTGAATTCAAATAAATAATCAAAGTTATGATCTCTTGAAGTACATTAAAAATTAATTAAGATTTTCTAGTTCATTTGCATTTTCTTAATTAGTTTTTATAATTTATTTTGATTTTCATTCTTTTTTAGTTTATTGTTTTTTTTTTAAATATTAACAGTAAGGTTTAGCTTATTGTTAATAGAATTTGGATACAGCAATAAAATATAATTTTAGAATAGTGAGTTTATTGGATTTCATGCTTTTAATAATCACTTTTCACTTTAAGGCTGTTTGAAGTTGATTCTTTAGTTAACATTACCTCTAGCTAAAGGTTCTTATAAACCAATCAAAACTCTAAATAATTTTCATCAATCTCTTGATTTATATCAATCAATCAAATTGTCTTATATTTGTTTATTTTATATATTTATTTAATTTTATTCTTCTTCCTTTCTAAGAATTCTAAAGTAATATTAACTAAAAATTCAATTGCAAGCTGTCTAAAGAATCAAAGAAAGCAAATTACTTATTAAATAGATTATTTTACTATTTTGATAAATATTATTATGCTCTAATTATGAACTAACAATATAATATATTTTTAAAAATTTTTGAGTATTAATTTTATATTGGTATACATTATTTATGCTGAAATCAATCATTTATCAAATCAGCAGAATACCCATTTAGTTAATTTTTATAAGGTATCTTAAAAATAATGATAACAGTTGTAAATTCTAATCTAATAATTAAATTCGGATATAAATTATTAAATTCAAAACAAAGTTATTATAAAATTTACAATTTAGTGATCATAGATTTATTACTTCACTTTATTTAGTTATTGTAAAGATACAATCTATAACTATTTTATATTATAAAAATTAGTTTAATCTAGATTTGTATATATAAAAAAATAGTTTAAATTATATATTTAATGTATTGTTATTGATTTTATAAAAATTTATTATACTAATAGGGTTTTGGGATTTTGGGTAAAGTTTTGAATTTCAAATAAAATTTTGGGTTTTAGATAAGGTTTTAAAAACTATAATCCAAAATTTGAAACCTTTGAATTTGACCAAAAAGGTTTTGGTAACCAATTCTAATACCAACTTTAAACTCTTTAGCATGCTAATGACTATTTTATCAGGTTCTTTATACTTAAGATTTGAAGTACAAATTTAAAAATAATTGATTTGTTTCTAATATTAGATTCATATAACTGTGATTCTGTTATTTTATAATTTAAATTATCATATAATATACAATAGATATCCTTTTTGAAAGAGAGCATTAGATTTGACTAGTAGGTGATTAAGCCTTTTAGTTATTTTGAGTTAATGAATACAAGTAGAATAAGTTATATAAACAAAAACTTGATAAATAATAATGTTTATAGAAGTTAGTGCTCTGAATCAAGTTGGGTCAACCCAAACTCAACCTGAAACCTAACCCAAAATTTCAAATTAGGTCAAATTCAAGTTAGAAAAATTTGATCTAAAAATTTCATATCAGGTTTAAGTTGAACATTAATCTGAACTAAACTTAACCTAACATAACCCAAAATTATCAAAATTAGAAATATTTAAAATAAGTATTTTATATGTTTTTCTTGGTTCTAATAGCAAGTATATATGTTTCTAATAGCAAGTATATAAGTATTTTTAAATAATAATTTAAATAAAACTACTAATCAGATTTTTTTAAACAAAATTGGTATAACAAATCCTCAATTTTGATTGGTTAATGACTGTAAATTGCAAAATTTTTCCTACATTATATAATAATTTACTAATTTTCAATCAAAATATTAATTTTTTTAATTACAAAATATAAATTTTAGAAAATAATTTTGCAGCATAATAAAATTTGCTTAGAAACAATATAAATTTCTAATAATCCTGAGCAAATATTATATTCATCACTCTTAGCTAATCAAATCAAGAATCTGCTATGAAATTTTGTGGACCAAAATCAATAAAATTTTTTTTTTAATTCTATAAATTATAGAATAAAAATAAAAAATTTTCATTGATTCTAGTATACAATGCATGACTTTTCTATAGTAGTTATAATGCATATTGAGTTTGAATTTGATTTACCAACTTCAATAGACATCATTATATGAATTTTAAGAGTAAAATAGAGAACTAAATTCATTTTTTAAAAAATT